GAGGACCCAAGCCCTGACGAAAACGCCCGGCCCGATGTCTGGGCTCACGCCAGCAGCCAACCGACCCCCGACGCCATGGTTTTGTTCATGACGTCGACCCTCTGAAATATCGACCAATTCCCGGGGACCAGTTTCTCGTCCTGAGCCGTGTTTCGACGGGCCCGGGGCCCGGCGAGGGCCCCCAGAGGCCGAAAACCATGCAAAATTCAGAGCGTGAATTACCTACCCCGCTTTCGCTTCCAGGCAAAACCAAGCCATACCACGCGCCTCCTCGTCAAGCGGCCTGACCAGTACAGGCCGTAGTTTGGCATCGCTTGGTATCTCTTGGAAGCGAGGGTGGTCAAAAGCGAGGTAGGTTTGTTTGCCCCCTAAAAATGCCCCGTCCTGACGGGCATGTCTGGGAAGACAGGTGGACGGGGCTCGACGGCGAGTACGTCGCCTCTGTCGCCGCCGGCGCCGTGGTCTGGCCCGACGGCTCGCGCCATGCGCTGGAGCCGGCAGGGGGCGGCGCCCTCCGCGTGGTCGGGCTACCAGGGGCCGCACCCCTGCAGGCCCAGGCGGCGTCGGGGATGGGCGCAGGTATTGCTTTCGTCGGCCCTCGTCGCTCTCCTCCTCCTCCTCGTCCTCCTCCTCCTCCTCCTCCCCTCCTCCTCCTCCTCCTCCTCCTCCTCCTCCTCCTCCTCCTCCTCCTCCTCCTCCACCTCCTCCTCTCTCCTCCTCCTCATCCTCATCATCATCATCATCATCATCATCATCATCATCATCATCATCATCATCATCATCATCATCATCATCATCATCATCATCATCCTTCTCCTCGGCCTTCTCCCTCCTCCTCCTCCTCGTCCTCCTCCCCCTCCTTCTCCGCCTGCTCCTCCTCGTCCTCCTCCTTCTCCGCCTGCTCCTCCTCCTCCTAGCTCCTCCTCTTCATCCTCATCCTTTTACTCTTCCTCCTTCTTATCCTCATCCTCGTCCTCATCCTCCTCCTCATCCTCCTCGACGTTAGAAACTTCGAGGTTATTGGATGTTATCGTCGGCCCTCGTCGGCTTTCCCTCTTCGGGACGCCTGCAAGCGGCTGCGCCTCGCCGAGAGCGTTCCGAGGGTCCCGGATCGTCCCGAACGGCATCCAGAGGCCAGAGACATGACCCTAAGCCAACATCGGTATGGGCGCTGGGGTTGCTAAGGGGGTAGGAAGCCGTTTTTATTCCCTGGCGATGTCGGGCGAGACACGGGGAGGGAGGGGAGGGGGGGAGGGGGCCGGCCTGGTCATGTCGCGATTCGTGCCTGCGCGGTCTGGTAATGCACAGGAATGGTTGATTCCCACTCGGCGCCGGCGTGAATCGTGACGTCACCAGGGATGGGGGGGCGGGGCCGGTCACGGGCGTTACTTCTCGCGAATAACAAAACGGGTTCCAGATTTGCGATCAATGGATGCCAAAGTCGATTATTCCTGGCTTAATTTTGCTTATAAGTAGGCTACAACTGCCCCAAGTGGCTCAGGTAGGCTAGACGGCGTAGGCTCGATTCGCCCGAGTCTCGATTCGCCGGGCTCGAGTCGCCCGTCTCGATTCGCCCAGGCTTCGATTCGCACAAGTCTCGATTTGCTCGGGGCTCGATTCGCCCAGGGCTCGAATCGCCCGGCTCGATTCGCCCAGGCTCAGTTCGCCCGAGTCTCCATTCGCCCAGCTCCGCCCGCCCGACCCGACCCGCCCGTTTAGGGCCCGCCCTCCCGTCCCGACCCGCCTAGTGTTCGCGCGGCTAGCTCGATGCTGCGTCATACCGTCACGTCCCGCCCGCCCGACCCGACCCGCGCGTCGGGGTCCGCCCACCCGACCCGAACCGCCCGTTGGGGTCCGCCCGCCCGACCCGACCCATCCGTTTGGGCTCGCGCGTGCTAACTCGATGATGTCTCATACTTTAAATGTCCCGCCCGCCCGACTCGACCCGCCCGTCAGGGTCCGCCTGCCCGACCCGACCCACCCGTTACAGGGCCCGCCCGCCAGCTCCCCCTCCTCCCCTGCTCCCACTCTGGATCGTTCACGTGCCTGGCGAAGCGAGCCCCGGCGAAACAAGCCCCGGCGAAACGAGCGGGAGCGAAACGAGACCCGACGGAACGAGATTTTGGCGAAACGGGACTCGGGCGAAACGAGCCCCGTCGAGACGAGACGGGCGAACCAAGCCCTGGCGAACCGAGCTTCGGCGAACCGAGCCGGGCAAATCGAGCCGGGCGCACCGAGCCCCAGCGAAGCGAGCCCATGGCGAACCAAGCCCTGGCGAAGCGAGCCCTGGCGAATCGAGACTCCAGCGAATCAAGTCCGTGCCGGCTAGACAACTCCGCTAAGTGAGCGGAGCCCTCTTAGCCCAGATCGCTGAATCCCGAAGCCACTTGGGGCATGTCAGCAGCTAGGTCAGGCCAGATATAACACACCTTGGCATCCACTGATAACCATCCTCATTCCCTTAGGCGCCGATCACAGCAACATGTTGAAAGAAACACTGCCGACTTTCTTCTCCGTTGTCGGACTCTGGGGGCCCTCGCCACGCCTGGGGGGTCGTCAAACAGCGGCTCGGAGCGAAAACACGGCCCTGGGGAAGGGGTCGGGACCTGAGGAGCAGCGCGTTGGACCTCTGGGAAGTCTGGCCTCCCCGGAGCCTGCCCCTCCACCCCGAGGCCTCCAGAGGCCCGACGAGGGCCGGAGGCGTCCGAAGAATCCCCCCCCCGAACCCTCGAGCCTTGAGGCCCGACGGCGCGAAAAAGACGGAGCATCACAGAGGGTCACGGCCAGACCGATCTGGTGTCTTGTTCGAGCCGGAGCGAACCGTGAGGGCCCCGGGCGCGAAGCGTGACGAAAACCCTTGTGCCATCGTTCGGACGTGTGCATTTTTCTCGAGGCGGAGGAGGCGGCGGAGGAGGAGGAGGAGGAGGAATAGGAGGAGGAGGAGGAGGAGGAGGAGGAGGAGGAGGAGGATCCTCGAAGAGCATTTTGGGCCATCTAGCGAAAGAATGCACGCACGAAGTCTAAAAATGCAATGGGGATGATGGCGAGACGCCTGGCTCGAAAACATTGAAACGCCAGAACCTCAGGGCCCCCTCTGGACCCTCGAGGCGCGAGGGCAAAGAATCGACCGCGTATGGCTGCCCTGACCCGCCCGTGTTGCAGCGCAGCACGCACCGTGGCCAAAACCGCCCGTGTCAGCACGCGCTGCGTGCTGGCTCAACGTGCTGGCCCACGAGTTTGCGAGCGTACCGCGCCAGGCGTACGGTAGGTTCGCGTCGTGTCGACCGGCAGCGACCCCGCCGCCAGCGTTGGATGCTGAACGCCGCCGGCGACCCAGAATCGGTCGATGCTCAACGGTCTCACAGTTCGGAAACGGCCTATCGTTCAAGGTCGAACGATCCGCGCGGAGTCAACAACCAACGCCGGGGTCGACACGACACGAACCTACCGCACACTTTCAGCCTTCATGTCGAGCCCCGTGTCAACAGTTGCGGGCTGCGAGTTATGTGTCGGGGCAGCATCAGCGTCGCAGGCCCGGCTCGTCTCCGCCGGCCGCCTGGAGTGGAGCGACGGCGACGTCTGGCTGCTGGAGGCCCCGCCACCTGCGCCGGGCACGGCGGGCGCGGGCTCCGAGGCCGCGGGGGCCGCCGAGGACACCCAGACCCCCTCGGGTCATGGAAAAATCATGTCGGGAGCTTTTGGAGAGATCCCCAGACATGCGACGACTTGATTCCCCAATCAGAGTTTGCCTCTGCAGGGATTCTGGCGGATTGATTTGGTTCCTCCATCAGAGCTTGCCTCTGTAGGGGTCCTAGCGGATTCATATGGTTAGGTGAGATATGGCGCCGATTTCGGCGGCACGCCCGGGTGCCTGGGAGCCTTAGGTGCCCTATAGCCTTATAGACTTATAGCCCTATAACCCTATCGCCCAATAGCCCTATAGCCCTATAGGGCCCTATAGCTTTAATAGCCCTATAGCCATGTAGCGCAAGAGCCCTACAGCCCTATAGCTCTATAGCCTTATGACCCCATAGCCCTATAGCCTTGTAGCGTTATAGCCCTATAGCCCTATATCCCCATAGCCCTATAGCCCTATAGCCCTAATAGCCCTAAAAGCCCTATAGCCTATAGCCCTAAAGCCCTGTATCCCCATGGCCCTAAAGCCCCATAGCCGTATAGCACTACAGCCCTGTAGCCCCATAGCCATATAGCCCTAGAATAATGTTGATTGGGGCTTTTCTCTGGTATCATTTCGTGAGGTACGGCGCCGATTATGGCGGCACGCCCAGGTGCCCGGGTGCCTGGGTGCCCAGGTGCCCGGGTGCGCCCGGTAGCCCTAGCGGATTCATATGGTTAGGTGAGGTGCGGCGCCGATTTCTGCGGCACGCCCGGGTGCCCAGTAGCCCTATAGCCCTGTAGCCCAATAGCTTTATAGCCCAACAGCCCTATAGCCCTATAGCCTTAATACCCTTATAGCCCTATAGCCCTACAGCACTATAGCCCTATAGCCTTATCGGCCTGTAGCCCTATAGCCCAATGGCCCTATAGCCCTATAGCCCTAATAGCCCTAATAGCCCTAATAGCCCTATAGCCCTATAGCCCCATAGCCCTCTAGCCAGGTAGCCCTAAAGCCCTATAGCACTATTGCCCTATAGATCTAGCCCCATAGCCTTACAGCCATAGAGCCCCATAGTCCTATAGCCCTAAAAAGATTACGATTGATTTTTTGGTTTCCGGCATCATAGTTTCAATACGCGGCCCCCAGAAGTCCCGACCATTTCCCTGGGGCTGGGTTTTCTTCCTGGGTCGTTTTTTGATGGTCCTTGGGCTCGGCGAGGGCCTCCAGAGGCCGAAACGGCAACACATACACCGTCCTGAGTCATTTTTCAACGGCGCGATCATGTCTGGGTCTCGGCCACCTGGGTGCAAAGACGATCTTGGGTCGAGACCTCTAGGGTTGCGAAAGAATCGTGGCGTCGGGGTTCCCGGATCGGCGGTGCAAGGGGTGGGGCCCCCTTGGCAGTCTGAGATCCCTTGAGCAGCGCAGGGCCAGCCCCCAGCCCCGTCCTGTGCCCAGACGCGCTCCCCCTGAGTCAAGCAGTGGCGAAGCGTCCTGGCGTGCCTACAGCCCTACCCAACAATGTTCTCAGAACCTTGTGTGGTTTCCACGAACTGTTCTTAGAACATTTCTGGCGGGGACTGTCTTGTTCGGGCTTGTGTTCTGAGAACATTGTTTTTGTTACTATTATGAGAACATGTTTGGGTTCTAAGAACATTTCGTGATAGGCCTATAGCAATGTCGGGACGGTCGGTCCCTGCTCAACTGAGATCCTGGCGTCTCGTTTTCTGTTCGAGCTAGGCGTTCTCGCCAGGTTTTGGGGTCCGGGCAGATCGATCTGGCTCGAAGGAAGCAGCAGGGAGATGGAGTCTAGGGGTCGGGTCGTGACTGTGTGCGATGTTTCCATGTTGCGCGCCGTCGTCTCTCAGGGCTCGCGTCGTGAGAACCACGACGGGAGGTTTTTGGTTATTTTCGGCCCCTGGGGGGGGCCCTCGCGGGGCCACGGGGCCGCCAAAGGAAAAATCGCGGGCTGAGGAGCCGGCCCTGGGAAGAGGTTCGGGACCTCCGGGTGCCCGGCGCAGAAAAAAAAACACGGGTCTGGAGTTCTCGCACGCCTTGCGCGGACGAGTGCACGGACGAGCCCTGAGGGGGAATTTGCAAAGTTATCCTCGCAATCCTGCTGCTGCACACTGCTTGCATCATTCACCTTCACCTGGGCGCTTCGGCCCCTCCCTGCGGCACCCTCGCGGTGCAGCCTCGCAGGTCGCAGTGTCGCAGCGCAGTGTCGCAGGGCCCCCAGAGGTCTCGATCCATTCCCCGGGACCGGCTTTTCATCCCGCGTCGTTCTTGGCAACCCTGGGGCCGGGCGAGGGCCCCTGGAGGCCGAGAGCCATCGAAGCCCGCCCGCCGTGTCTTTTTCGTGACCCGAGGGGGTCCGGGGGGAAGCATGGGCCCCTCTGGCCCCCCCCTGAGATCCGACGGCGCCAACAAATTGAGACATCGTAGAAAATCGCAATCGGAGTCCCGGACCCCATCTTCCGACGTTTTTCTTCGAGCCCGATCGATCTGTGAGGGCCCCAGGGCCCGAAATCGGGCGAAGACGCCCGGTGTGAAAATCTGCAACGCCCAGATCTGAGGGCGAGCCGCCGAGAGGAGGGGTCTGGGAACCTCGATCCTGGAGGAGGAGGAGGAGGAGGAGGAGGAGGAGGAGGAGGAGCAGGAGGACAAGGAGGAGGAGGAGGAGGAGGAGGAGGAGGGGAGGAGCAGGAGGACAAGGAGGAGGAGGAGGAGGAGGAGGAGGCGTCGGGCGAGGACGCGGGCTCCGAGAGCGCCGGGGAGGGCGACGCCTCGGAGAGCACCGCCTCAGAGGCCGCCGCCGAGGCCGCCGAGGACCGGCGGCGCGCGCGCGCGCGTGGGGGGGTTGGGCCAGCACGAGGAGGGCGGGCCTCGCGAGGGCTCGTCCTCGCCCTCGGCCTCTTCGCCCTCACCTCCTCCTCCTCCTCCTCCTCTTTCTCCCTCCTCCTCCTCCTCCTCCGCCCTCCTCCTCCTCCTCCTCCTCCTCCTCCTCCTCCTCCTCCTCCTCTCCACCTCCTCCTCCTCCTCCTCCTCCCTCCTCCTCCTCCTCCTCCTCCTCCTCCTCTTTCTCCTCCTCTTCCTCCTCCTCCACCTCCTCCTCCTCCTCCTCCTTACGAATACCTTCTCCCTGAGGCCGGTCGAAAGGGCGGGCCCCGCGTTTCGCTTGAGACCTCACCAGTTATGGTCTAAAAGCTCGAAAGTTGCAAGGACTTCACGGACGGAGGGCCGTCCGTTTTCAAAACGTGGCTTTCGCTGGAGCGCCGCGCACATTCGTTGGAAAGTGTGCAAGAGCTTCACGGATGCATCCGTTTTCGAAATGTGACTCTCGCCTGAGCGCCGCGCAGATTCGTTTCAAGGGTTTGCAAGAGCTTCACGGATGGAGGGCGGTCCGTTTTCAAAATGCGGTTCTCGCCTGAGCGCCGCGCACATTCGCTTTGAGAGACTGCAAGAGTTTCAAGGATGTTCACGGCGAGCGTCCCATGAATGGTCTTTTGGCACGACGTCGGAATTTCAGAGCGCAGCTGCCACATTGATTCGCGGTGTCGAAGTCCCAGGAATGGTGCTATGGCACAGCTCAGGATCTTCAGGAGGTAGCAGTAACGATTATTCGCGGCGCTGGAGGCCCAGAGATAGCGTTCTGGCACAATTCCCGATGTTCCAGGTTGTCTTCCAACTGGGCATCTCCCTCAGTGAAAGTGAATCCGTGTAGGCGCCTGCGAAGAGGGAACTTGAAGGGAGAGTTGATTGCAATATCGCTGATGAGTCTTAAATTTATACTGGTCCTCCTCCTCCTCCTCCTCCTCCTCCTCCTCCTCCTCCTCCTCCTCCTCCTCCTCCCTCCCCCTCTTATCATCATCCCCCTCCTCCTCTCCTCCTCCTCCTCCTCCCTCCTCCTCTCCCCTCCTCCTCCTCTCCTCCTCTCCTATCCTCCCTCCTCCTCCTCCTCCTCCTCCTCCTCCTCTCCTCCTCCCTCCCCTTCTTCCTCCTCCTCTCCTCCCTCCCCCTCCTCCTCCTCCCTACCCTCTCGTTATCATCTCCTAATCTCCTCCTCCTCCTCCTCTACCTCCTCCGCGCCCCGCGCGCGCTCCCGCGCGCGGGAGAGGACCGGCCGCGCTCTCGCGCGCCGGAGGGGGTGGACGCGAGGGGGCGGGCCTCTCGATGGGCTCGGGCACGGAGAGGTCTGGAGGACAGAGAGGCACGTACAGAAGGAGACGCCTCCTCCTCCTCCTCCTCCTGCTCCTCCTCCTCCTCCTTCCTCCTCCTCCTCCGTTTGGTTGGCAGCGGCGCACTGGAGAAAAAAAATCCTCCTCCTCGCCTCCTCTCCTCCTCCTCCTCCTCCTCCTCCTCCTCCTCCTCCTCCTCTCCTTCCCTCCTCCTCCTCCTCCTTCTCCTCCTCCTCCTCCTCCTCCTCCTCCTCCTCCCTCCTCCCCCTCCTCCTCCTCCTCCTCCTCCTCCTCCTCCTCCTCCTCCTCCTCCTCCTCCTCCTCCTCCCGTTCGGCACCTGGCACCCCGGCCTCCAGGAGGAAGTCGTCGGCGGAGTACAGGTAGTTGTGGTAACAAAGAGCGGGCACCGATCTGGCAGCAGAGAATCGCATGGCGAAGCCTTATCATCGATCTGTTGACAAAGAACGGGATGTGTAAATCAACGGGCACCGATCTGGCCAGACGCAGATGCACGTGATAACCAACAGCCGACATCCGACGCCAACATGCTTTGGGATATCCAGGTCCCGACCCACTTTGGGCGCTTTCCTACTTGAAGAGTCTAGCGATGTTCCTTCGTCCCTCCTCTTCAGGGGGTGGGCGGAGGCCCAGTCTTCTTCCAACGCCTTCCTGCTTCATGTCAACACCCACTTTTTCCGTACGACGGGTAAACGCAAGGTCCAGGAAGATGCCGGAGAATAGGGGCAGCGGAAGGGAACAAGAGCAACCAGGAAAAATGCGGAGAAATCCGGGAGATCTTCGAAGCTGTGTGTGTTGTGTGTGTTGTGTGTTTTGTCTGTTGTGTCAGTAGTGTGTGTGTTGTGTGTTGTGTGTGTGCTTATGTGTTTGTGTGTTGCGCGTTTGTGTGTGAATGAGTGTGACTGTGTGTGTTTGTGTGTGAATGTGTGCGAATGTGTGTGAACTTGCGTGAATGTGTGTGTGTGTGTTGTGTGTTGTGTGTTGTGTGTGGTGTGTTGTGTGTGGTGTGTGGTGTGTGGTGTGTGGTGTGTGGTGTGTGGTGTGTGGTGTGTGGTGTGTGTGTGTGTGTGTGTTTGTGTGTTTGTGTGTTTGTGTGTGGTGTGTGTGTGTCTGTGTCTGTGTCTGTGTCTGTGTCTGTGTCTGTGTGTGTGTTTGTGTGTGTACGTGTGTGAATGTGTGTGTGTGTGAATGTGTGTGAATGTGTGTGAATGTGTGCGAATGTGTGTGAATGTGTGTGAATGTGTGTGAAATTTATGTGAATGTGTTCGAATGTGTGTGTGTGAATGTGTATGAATGTGTGCAAATGTACGTGAATGTGTGTGAATGTGTCTGGATGTGTGAATGTGTGTGAATGTAAGCGAATGTGTGTGAATGTGTGTGAATGTGTGTGAATATGTGCGACTGTATGCGAATGTAAATGTGTGCGAATGTGTGCGAATGTGTGAATGTGTGCGAATGTGTGTGAATGTGTGTGAATGTGTGTAAATGTGTGCGAATGTGTGTGAATGTGTGTGAATGTGTGAATGGTCGTGAATGTGTGTGAATTTGTGTGAATGTGTGTATGTGTACGTGTGCATTTGTGGGTATGTGTGTATGTGTGTATGTGTGTATGTGTTTATGTGTGTGTGAGTGTGTGAATGTGTGTATGTGTATTTGTGTACGTTCGTATGTGCGTGAATGTGTGTGAATGTGTGCGAATGTGTGTGTGTGTGTTTTTGTGTGTTTTTGTGTGTGTTGTGTGTTGTGAGTGTTGTGTGTTGTGTGTATTGTGTGTTGTATGTTTGTGTGAATGTGTGTTGTGTGTTGTGTGTGTGTGTTTGTGTGTGTACGTGTGTGTGTGTGTGCGTGCGTGTGTGTGTGTGTCTCCCTGGGCCCCTTTGACAGCTGGAGTCGGCTCGGGGTCTGAGGTGGCCCAGCACGGGGTTCTTCTGGTACGAGAAGATGTTTGAATTTGTTCTACCTCTGTGGGCCGTTTTCGGACCTTGGGACCGTCAAAAACGGATTCCGGCACCAGATGCACCGATTTTGACCGGATTTGCTTTCATGCCCCTCTGGACCGTTTTCCTTGGGGCCCAGTCAGCTCAGACCATTTGGCCGCCTCCAAATCGAGAAGACGGCCATCCAGTCAAGTCGACTGAGGAAATCTGCACCGGTGTACTCGACATTGGCATTCGAGTTTGCCAGTGCAGTCACCAGTCGGTTCCGCTGATCCGCATGCCTTTCGGCGGACACACTCGCCTGTTTAGCTGCCCCGATGAGGTCCACTCGGAGCACGGTGCCGTGCGCACGCGGAGTGCCCCTAGCAGCTTTCACTCAGAGCGTGAATTACCTACCCCGCTTTCGCTTCCAGGCAAAACCAAGCCATACCTCGCGCCTCCTCGTCAAGCGGCCTGACCAGTACAGGCTGCAATTTGGCATCGTTTGGCATCTCTTGGAAGCGAGGGTGGTCAAAAGCGAGGTAGGTTTGTTTTCCCCCTATTCACTAAAGGCCGTTTTGCTAGAGGGTGCCCTGGCTATCCTCGAGGGGCGGGCGGGGGGGCATCCTCCCCAGGCGGCCTCGCGTCGTGAAGAAAAAGACGACGGCATGTTGTCTGATATGTCCTGACTCTGGGGGGTAGCAAAAACATCATGACTCGACGCGGGGATTCCCATGTGTATTATTTGCCTGGACCTTTTCCGCTGCGAGCGTCTGGGTACGAGAGAGTCTGGGCACGAGTGGGTCTGAGTAACAGAGACTGAGAGCGGGTGAGACTGAGTGTGGGTGAGCCTATGTGTGAGCGATTCTGGGTGTGAGTGATTCTCTGCGTATAAGTGTGAGTATGGCAAGCTTTAGGTCAAGTGTATTTGAGTGTGAGTAGTTTGAGTGTTGGAGTGTAGGTCTGAGTGTGTGAGAGACTAGTCTGAGTGTGAATGGTCTGAGTGTGATTGTGAGTTTGAGTGTCCGGGCTGTACCTGAGTGTGAGTGGTCTGACTGTAAGTGCGAGTCTGAGTCTGAGTGAGTCGAAGTGAACTTCGGCTCAGCATGTCTGAGAGCAACAGAGTCTGAGCATGAGAACGTCAGAGTGCGAGTATGTGCGTGAGCGAGCCTGGGAATGGACTACCTGAGACGGAGCAGGCGGGAGGAAGGGAAAAGAGAGGAGGCACGTCAAAACATGCGGTTTTGGCTCACGGGCGATAGGGTCCCATGTAAAACAACAACAGCACACACACACACACACAGAGTTCGAGCCCCAGGAGAGGGGCGATCTACAGGAACATACGTATACAACATTTCGGGTTCGAGCCCCAGGAGGGGGGCAATCGACAGGAACCTACGTATGGCAAGTAGGTTTCGAGCCTCAAGAGAGGGGCAAGATATAGGAACATGCGTAAAAACATATAGGATTCGAGCCCCATGGGAGGGGCAGTCTACAGGAACACATGCAACACACTTAGGATTCGAGACCCAGGAGAAACAACTTATCGGAACATGCGAAAATTCTAGACGCTTCGCGTATCCCCACCAGCTTTTGACTTGGATTCGCCTTCAGGCCTTCCGCTGGATTTATTTCTCCAGTCAGTCTGTGTTACCCGTCAGACTCCCTGGATCGATGTCCTCGGAAACTTAAATGCTGAACGGCCTTCCGCCGTGACCCTGGATCGAAGTGGCTCTGATGGATGCGGCTCGGGTACACGAAGGTCCCGTCCCTCGGGTGCTATCCGACTCGGTCTGGTAGCGCTGAGACACTTTGGATGTGCACACGCCACGTTGTCGACCGTGCATAGTGCACTACGGCGCCCCTCCACTCGTTGGGTCTGGGCTGACGCATCTCAGTTGTGGAAGGCTCTCCTGTCACGCCCCACACCCTGGATGCGCGTTCTGGCGTCGCGACTTCGTGTCACCGCTAGAATTTCCCGCTGGACTTATGTCCCCAGTTAGTCTGTGGTACCCGTCAGGCTCCCTGGATCGCTGTCTTCGGGAATGTTCTTTTCTGTCCGCATCTGGACTTCTGGGAACGCCTCGCGCGCCATTTTGGCTGCGCTTGGTCTCCTCGGTGCCTGTCCTCAGGCTCGTTGGATGGACCGTTGCATGCCCGTCCTGGGGCTGTCTCAGTCTCCCTGGATTGCACGTCGGCTGCCGCCCTGGGCGCTGCCTCCCTTGCCGCCTGATCCGCGGCCCCCGCGCGCGCTAGGCAATTTAGCCGCGGTCGTAGCCCGCCCGCGACCTCCCGCCGCTGGCGCTTCCGCCTGCGGCTGTAACAAAACAAATCCCCACCAGCCCGTCCAGAAACGACGCCCAGGCGAGTAGAGGGTCGTCCTGAGGGGCTTTTCGGCGTCTTGGGTGCCTCGGGGGGGCCTCTGTGGGCCGTTCGGGATCCTCTTTGGGGCCTCCTGGGGGCCTCTTGGGGCCTCTTGGGGCCATCTTGGGGCCTCTGGGGGCTCTTGGGGCCTCTGGGGGTCTCTTGGGGGCCTCCTGGGGGCCTCTGGGGGGGCCTGTTGGGGTCATCTTGGGGCCATCCTGCGGCCTCTTGGGGCATCCTGGGGGCCTCTTGCGGCCATCGTGGAGGAAATCGATCAAAGAAGAGGGGTTCCTTAATTAGAGTCCCCCCCCAGGAGCCACGATCCTCGTGAGGGGTGTCGAATTTTAGCCTTCCCAGGGGTCGATCTTGGGCGCTCCAGCGCGCCGCGGAACCCCCTGTCCAGGTCAGCGGGGAGGGGGTAGGGGGAGGGGTAAACCCCCCCCCGAAGGGGAAGAAGGAGGGGTGGAAGAGGAAACGCTCTAAACCACCGACGCCCAGAGGGCTGGTGGGACTACATGGGATTCGAGACCGAGAAGTGGGGCAATCTTTAGCAACGTGCGTAAAACACCGGATTCGAGCCCCAGGGGGCCCCCTGGAGCCTCCTGGGGCTTCCTGGTGCCTCTGGAACCTCCTGGGGCCTCCCGGGGCCTTCTGGGGCCTCCTGGGGCCTCCTGGGGCCTCGTGGGGTCTTCTGCGGCTTCCTGGGGCCTCATGTGGCCTTCTGTGGCATCCCAGGGCCTCCTGGCCCCCTTGGAGTCTCCTGGTGATTCCTGGTGTTTCCTGGAGCCTCCTGGGACCTCTTGGGGGTTCCTGGTGCCTCCTGTGGCTTCCTGGGGCCTCCCGGAGCCTCATGGGCCCGCCTTGGGCTTCCTGGTGCTTCACCGACACAGGCAAACCGCTTGAGACATCCTCGAAATCTGCGCCGCTTGGGGAACACACGTCAAAAACATAGGATTCGAGCCCCAGGAGGGGGGCAATACATAGGAACAGACGTAAACACAGAATTCCAGCTCCAAGAGAGGGGGGGGATCTACAGAAGCATACGGAAAACACTTAGGATTCGAGTCCCAGGAGAGGGGCAATCGATTGGAGCATGCGCAAAGCACGTAGCATCCGAGCCCCAAGAAAAGAGCAATGTCAAGGAAAATTGGCAAACACAAAGGATTCAAGCCTTAGGAGAGGAGCGATCTGCATACACATGTGAAAAAGCACATGGCATTCGCGCCCCAGGAGAGGGACAATAATAGAAGCACTTGTAAAGCACGTAGGATTCGAGCCCTAGGAGAAGGGCAATCTATAGGAACACACGTAAACACACATAGGATTCGGGCCTCAGGAAAGGGGTAATCCATAGGAACAGACTTACAACACATAGGGTTCGAGCCCCAGGAGAAGGGCAATAGATGATCCTGGGCTCCAGGCCCACGCCCACCCACCCTCCTCCCCAGATGGGGTAGGTCTCAGGGTCCCTCGGGCCCCCCCCCTGATAGGATTGGGGGGGCGGGGACGACGACGACGACGACGACCACGACGACGACGACGGCGACGACGACGGCGACGACGACGACGACGACGACGACGACGGCGACGACGACGACGACGACGATGACGGCGACGACGATGACGACGACGACGACGACGACGACGACGACGACGACGACGACGATGGCAGCGACGACGACGACGACGACGACGACGACGACGACGGCGGCGACCACGACGACGACGACGACAGTCGCGGCGGCAGCGGCGGCGGCAGCGGCACCGACCTCCGGAGCCCTCCGACGACGACGACGGCGGCGGCGACGACGACGACCTCCGGAGCTCTCCTGGAGCACCACAGTACCACGCCACGCACGCCACACCCACAGGCGGGGGGGGGGGCATCGCGCGGAGGGGGTGGAGGCCGATGGCATCAGCATGAGGGGGGGGACCCAGACCTTGGACAATTTATAGGAGCACGCGTAAAGCACTTAGGGTTCGAGCCCCAGGAGAAGGGCGATCTACAGGAACATACACAAAAAAACACAGGATTCGAGCCTCAGGAGAGGGGCAATTTACAGGAGCACACGTACAACACGTAGGATTCGAGCCCCAGGAGAAGGGCGATCTGTAGGAACATACGCAACACACATAGGCACATAATATTGGAGCCTCAGGAGGGAGACAATCTACAGGAGCAGACGTACAACACAGGATTTGAGCCCCAGGAGAAAGGCAATATATAGGCACATGCGTAAAACATATAGGCTTCGAGCTCCAGGAGAAAATCCAGCCATAGGAACATACGTAAGACACTTAAGATTCGAGCCCCAGGAGGCCCCCTGGAGCTTCCTGGTGCCTCCTTCCTGGAGCCTCCTGGGACATCCTGGGACCTCCCGGGGCCTCCTGGGCTTCCTGGGGCATAATTTAGTCTCCTGAGGCTTCCTGGGGCCTCGTGGGGCATCCTGTGGCATCCTGGGACTTCCTGGGGCCTCCTGGGACCTCCTGGAGCCTCCTGGGGCCTTCTGGGGAAGATTCGTACGCCAAGGGGGGCCCAATATATAGTAACATACGTAAAGCACACAAGAGTGGAGCCACAAGAGAGAGGTGATTCTACAGGGACATCTGTAAAACACCCAGGGTTCGTGCCCAAGGAGAGGCCCAATCGATACGAGCATAGTGAAAACACTTAGGGTTGGAGCCACAGGGGAGAGCACTCGATAGGGACATACGTAAACCAGAAAGAATATTATTTGAACGCAGACGAGTCTGACCAGCAAAACAGGCAATCCGCTCGAGAGATCCTCGCCACCTGGGTCCCATGGGATGTGAAGTGCAAGCGTCCCCGCAGTCTGGGCGCGAACCCCCTGGCGGTCCCCCCCTGGGAGTGCTGAAACCCGCGCCTGGCACGAGACAACCCCCACGCGCTGCTCCGAAGAGCAGAGGATGCTGCGCCTGCAGAGAGGCAGAGCGATGGAGACGCCCCCGCACTCCGGGCGCGAAGGGGCTCGTGAGACCCCCCCCCCCTGCGCTCCCCCCCCCTTGGGCGTGCCGCTGCGCGCCGCCGCGAGGAGGCGGCGAGCGCCCCCGGCTGCGCCGAGGCCGCGCGGGCGGCGGAGGCTCCCGCGGAGGCCGAGGGCCTCCGCGGCGGCGCAAGCGACGACTCCGACGGGGAGGGCAGCTCGTCGTCCTCGTCGTCCCCTGGCGCGGCGGGCGGCGCCGACGTGCGCGGGGCCGTGCGGGCGGAGGCCGCCTCGGGGCCCCGGGGCGCGCCGCTCGAACCTGGCGCGGGAGGCTGCAGGCTGTCCGCCCCCCGCGCGGAGGACGGGGAGGGCGACTCCGACGGCGAGGGCAGCTCCTCCTCCTCCTCCTCCTCCTCCTCCTCCTCCTCCTCCGCGGCCGACGAGCCCTCGGAGGTGCCCTCGGGAGTGGCCCGGCAGCGGGTGGAGATCATCCCGGCGGTTCCAAGACGCCCCAAGGACAGGAAGGGATCCCAGGCTGAGTTTTGCTCTGGTTGAGGGCCCTCGTCCTCGGGGCCCTGTCGCCAAAACGCGGCAACAAGCACCACCTTGGGCTCAGGACGGGCTTTGGTTACCAGGCCGTCCTGGAACCTCTCCGCGGCCGAGGCCCGCTGCGGCCAGAAAAAAAAGCCTTCGTCCCTCATCTGGCGTTCCCTACCCTGACATCCTGCTGCTCCAATGTTTGCCGATGCGTGGGCCCCAGAGGTCTGGACCACTTCCCCAGGGCCGGTTTTTCCCCCTGCGTCGTTGTTTGGCGCTCCCGAGGCCCGACGAGGGCCCCCAGGGGTCGAAAACAGCCAAAAACCGCCCGCACCAATTTTTTGGGAGCGTCGCATCTTTGGGTCTATGGCAGCACGATGGCCGTGTCGCTCAGGGCCCCCTCTTTGCACCGCCGGCCATCGTGGAGAGCCTCTGCCGCCTGCCCGTGGACGAGCGGCGGCGGCGCGCGGCCTCGCTGGGCCAGTGGCTGCGCTCGAGGGCCGCGGCCGGCGGCCGCGGCCTCGGGGGCGTCGGGCTCACCGAGCAGACCGCGGAGGCGCTGGCCGCCCACATCCGCGCGCGCGTGGCCGCCGCGGAGGCGGCGGCCGCCGCGGCCGCCGCGGAGGCTGCCGCTGGCGAGGCCGCCGCCGAGCGGCGGGCCGCCGCCGCGCAGCCCGCCGAGCGGGCCGCGGCCGCGCGGCCCGCCGCGGCCGCGCGCGCGGGCGGCCGTGCACGGGGCGGGGGCGCCGCGGTGCCGTTGCCCGCGCCTGGGCGCTCGTGTCTGCGGGCGCGGGCGGCCCGCGCCGGGGCTGGGCAGCTGCCTGGCGGGGCGCGGGCACGGAGCAGGGGCAGCAGGTCGTCGCGCCATTGAACCCGCGACACGTACGAGAGGGTCGGGGGTGGGCACGTCGATCAGCGAATGGGCCGTTTTCGGCTCGCGAGAGGGCGTCGCCGCCGTCACTTTTGCGGGTCCAGGTCCGTCGGTTTCGGTCCCAGGCCGTTTTCGCTAAAGGGAGGTTCACGAAAGTCAGAGCGTGAATTGCCTACCCCGCTTTCGCTTCCAGGCAAAACCAAGTCATACCACGCGCCTCCTCGTCAAGCGGCCTGACCAGTACAGGCTGCAATTTGGCATCGTTTGGTATCTCTCGGAAGCGAGGGTGGTCAAAAGCGAGGTAGGTTTGTTTTCCCCCTAGAAAGGGAGGCTTGTCCACCGCCGAGAGTGGCCCTGCGCCGGAGAGTGACCTGTCGGTGCGGGCTCACCAGGGTCCCCCCAGTCGCTGCGCGCGACGACATATAGCAGCGGCCTGGGCGCCTGGATTTGGCCACCTCGCGCCCCCCTGGAGCCCGCGCACCAAAGGTCACTCTTACGGTAGGTTTGCGTCGTGTCGACCAGCGGCGACCCCAGCGCGGGCGTTCAAGGTTGAACGCCGCCGGCGACCCAGAATCGATCGATGTTGAACGATCGGACGTTGCGGCAGCGGCCGATCGTTCAAGGTTGAAAGATCCCTGCGGTGTCAAAAACCAACGCTGGGGTCGGCACGACACGAACCTGCCGTACCCAGGGTCACTCTTGCGTGTAGCCGAATGGAACAAGCGGGCCCGGAGCCGAGGAGAGATCACCCCACTTCGAGGCTCCGAGGTTTTCGGGTGTCATCGTCGGCAGCCCCGGGGTGCCTTCCATCAGCTTCGCCTCGTCGGGGGCGCTCCAGGAGTGCCCAGATCGTTGAGAATGGCCGTCAGATGCCAGATTGATGGCCAGAAAGCCAGCGGGGCGTCCCCTCGGCGTCGAGAGAAATCACGGCGGGCGCTTCTTGCCCGTTTTCAGCCTGCGGGGGGCCTCGCTGGGGCCCTGGGGCCGTCAGAGCACAGCTCGCGATGAAAAGGGTCGGTCGTCGAGTTGGTAGAGACGGAGGCCATTGCAAGCATGGGTCAGCCAGGGCGCCGGATCCTGCTGGATCCTGCAAGAACCAGGGCTGCACTGACCCAGGCTAGCGCGCAGCGAAGCCCGACCGACTTTTGCCCGTTTTCGGTTTCCGGGGGCCCTCGCCGGGCCCCGGGGCCGTCAGACAAGCTCGCGATGAAAAGCCAGCCCTGGGCAGAGGGTCGGTCGGGTCGGGACTTCCGGGGGCCCTGTCTTGCAATAGCTGGGACGTCGCATGCCTGGGAGGGAGGCGGGTCTTGAGGTTGTGTGCCATTCTCGGGCTCCAGCGGGGCCTTCCCCCGGGCCCTGGGGCGCTGACAAACTGCCTGTGGGATGGAGACCTGGTCCGGCTGAGGATTCCTCTAACCCCACAGGGTCTTTTGAACCCCCCCCCCCAATAGTGCGCAAATATATGGTTGTCCCGCGGGCTTATTGACGGACTGGGACCCCAGCAATAATGGAAAATATTATTTTCCGTGTGGAACTCGGGCCCCACTGAAAGGAAGTTCGTTGCTGACGCCTCAAAGAGCTTGAGACTCACGTGGCTGCGGGGGGGGCAATAGCGAGGAGGAGGAGGAGCAGCAAGGGAAGATGTACAAAGCCCAAGCGGCTAATAGTGCGAAACGAATTCCTGGGCGGCCCTCGTACCTCAGGCAGGAGCGTCCTCAGTCCTCGTAGCTTGCGGTCCTCAGTCCTCGTAGCTTGCGGTCCTCAGTCCTCGTAGCTTGCGGTCCTCAGTCCTCGTAGCTTGCGGTCCTCAGTCCTCGTAGCTTGCGGTCCTCAGTCCTCGTAGCTTGCGAGAGGTCCTCAGTCCTCGTAGCTTGCGGGAGGTCCTCAGTGGGGGGAGGGAGAGGGAGCGAGGGGGGAGGACGGGGGGAGGGAGGGGGGAGGACGGGGGGGCGCGGAGTTTTATTCCCCGGAGAGAGAACCGGGGGGGGGGGCCCTTTTCTAAAGACCCTACCGGGTTATAGGACAAGTTTTCCATCATACGGAGGAGGAGGAGGAGGAGGAGGAGGAGGGGGAGGAGGAGGAAGAAACCCAGACATGCGACGTCCTGATTTTTTCATGACGGCGTCCCTGAAAGTCCCGACCCTTTCCCAGGGACCGGTTTTCCGTCCTGAATCGTTTTTTGACGGTCCCGAGGCCCGGCGAGGGCCCCACGAGGCCGAAAATAGCCAAAAACCTCCCGTCCTGATTTTTCAACGACGCGATCGTCCTCCTTCAACGATGTCTGGGAAAGGAGGGGGAGGAGGAGGAGGAGGAGGAGGAGGAGGAGGAGGAGGAGGAGGAGGAGGAGGAGGAGGTCGGCCAGAGGCCGGCGCTCTCCGTCCCGACGTCGCTGGCGCATCGCCGATGCATCGGCGATGCAGTGCGATCCTCCGACCCAGACAGGGTCGCGCCGTAAAAAAATCAGGACGGTCGTTTTTGGCCCTTTTCGGCCTTCGGAGGCCCTCGCAGGGCCCCGGGGCCGTCAAAAACGACTCAAGATGGAAGGCCGGTCCCGGGGAAAGGGTCGGGACTTCGGGGACCGCGTATTGAAAACATCGGGACGTCGCACATGTCTGGGGAGCGCATCTGTTCTGGGCCCATGTGTGGTGTTCCAGGAAAGGGGCTTGCCTCCGAAAGTCGAAAGGATTGATCTATCTCTTCCTCGGTGGGAGATAACGGAAGGCCGCGAAAGTAAAGCGAGACCGCCTCCGCCAGCGGAAGCAAGCTCGGCGGAAGGCGACGGAAGTAAAGATCGGCCTCCCAAGAGATGGCAAGGTTTTTTTGAACCTGCCACGTGGTCGGCATCCAGAGGAGCCCAGGGGGCGCTCCAGGAAAGCCCCCTGCATTCTCGGATCGGGGGTGGACAGACCTCCTACACTGACACGTCGATTAGCGAATTGGCCGTTTTCGGTTTGCGAGAGGGCGTCACGGCCGTTATTTCTGCGGGTCCAGGTCCGTCGGTTTCAGTCCTAGGCCGTTTTTTTAAAGGGAGGTTTACTAAAGAGAGGTTTGTCCACCGCCGATCGGAAGCCCACCCCATCTCGCCCTGCTCCTCTTCTGCGCGCCCTGCCGAGCAGGGGGAGAGTGCGGGTGATGATCGGCACCCACACCGTCGGCGAGAGGAGACCGGGCGGGCGAAAGGGGGAGGTCAGAATTCAATTGTTGTTGGAAACGCTGGGGGCGTTTTTGTTCCGCCGTTTCCCATTGTTTGCTCTTGACTGGACCAAAACGGTTGAAAACGACACCCTGTAATGTGGACAGGCGGCATTGGGATATTTGAAAAGAATTTATAAGCGCATTGACAACGGAAGTAAAACGAGCTGCTGGGCCACGAGGCGATCCCAGATTTGAGAGCGCAGCAAAAACGGCGCCCAAGCCGAAAAGGAAACATCATTTTTCGAGCCGGATCGATCTGTGAGGGAAACATGCACGGCCCGAAACCAGGCGAAAACGCCAGGTGTGAAAGAATTGCAACGCCCAGATTTGAGGGCCTGTCGCCTCCTCTGCAGGATGGGCAGGGAGTTGGCGAATATCACGCTCGTGCGCAGCCACAGGCGCGACGACCTGTGGCACCAGAGCCTGGGCGAGCGGGTCCGGTGCGACCGCTGCGGGGGCACGTGCCCGAAGCCCTTCGGGCAGCTGTGCGGTGCGGAGGGGAGGTCTCGGAGCCCTAGAGGTTTGCACAAACAGCGCGATCGGCGGTGTGCGTCCACGGAGGGAAGAGGCTTCCCGATCTCGATGCTGGCTGTAATATTCGGGCTTCCTAGGTGGCCGAAAGATTACTACCGAGACCATTTGGGATCATCTTCCCCTGTTGGAGGCACCCCCCCGTGTTGGTGTTGACGCTGGTTTCCAAGCTCCCAGAGGTCTGCCTTCGCACAGTGCGAGTTCGTCTGCAACCGCTGCCTGGGCGGCTGAAGCGGTGCCGAGAGGGCGCGGGAGTCAGACCCTCAGATCCAGGCGACGCAATGTTTTCACAACGAGCGTTTTCGCCCAGACTTGGGCACCAGGACCCGCACAGATCGATCCCGGCTCGGAACATAGTGCAGATAGAGGGGGTCCAGGGCTCTATAGGTGCGAGTTTTCGCCACGTTGCTTTTTGTTCGCCATGCCGGGGTGTCCCGCACCGTGGCATAGCCGACCTCCCATCGTACTTGGACAGGGGAGGGACAAGAAGAGGAGGAGGAGGAGGACGAGGACGAGGCGGAGGAGGCAAGAGGCAGGAGGCAGGATTCAGAGGAGGAGGAGGAGGAGGAGGAGGAGGAGAAAGAGGAGGAGGAGCAGGAGGAGGCGGAGGAGGAGGAGGAGGAGGAGGAGGAGGAGGAGGAGGAGGAGGAGGAGGAGGAGGAGGAGGAGGAGGAGGAGGAGGAGGAGGAGGAGGAGGAGGAGGAGGAAAAAGAGGAGGAGGAGGAGGGCGAGTGGAGACAGCGGCAGTCGGCCTCTGGGAGACCCCCTCGTCGCCGTGGCCGGACGCAGCTCGGAGCCCTGGTGCGCTCGGGGTCCCCGGAGGGGGTCCGGGGACCGCTCTTGGGCTACTCCAGATTTCGTCTGGCCTCCCAAGAAGGGCAAACTCTCATAACAGATCAGCTCCTCAATCCTCAGCACCCCACCTCCTCGCGCCGTGGACAGATCACATTAAAAGGTGTTTGCAAACTTTTTGCCTACATGGGTCTCATGACTGGGCTCCTGGACTGCCAAGCAACGACTCGGAGTGAAAAGCCAGTCCTGCGGACGGTGACCAGATACTCCAGATTTCGTAATAAAAGGGAGGGGGTCTGGACCCTCCAAGACGAGCCATTTCAGACCCCCCCCCCCCCGTGGGAGAACCCTCCAAAACATCGTCCCCAGACCCCCCCAGGCCCTCCAAGATAGGCTGGAAGAGACCCCCCCCCGAAATGAGACCCCCCTCCCTTTGATACGAAATCTGGGCTGCCGTGGCCTCAAGCTCGCCCTGCTCCGAGAGGAGATCAGAGCCCCGAATCACCAGGGGTAACTCGGGTCAGGGCTAACTCGGGTTCGTTTTTCTCAGGAGGGGAAAAAACACACAGACACAATTAATCGGCGATTCCCAGAAAATATGGGAAAATATGGGAAGTGGGGGGGAAGACAAAAACCCAGAAAATATCGGAAAATATGGGGGATATTTTTATTTGTGTGTATTTATTTGTGTGTCCCAATTCCCCTTCATTTTCGGGAGCCCGAACCCGAGTTACCCTGGACCCGAGTTACCCCGGAGAACTCGGGCGTCCAAGGAGAGGTGCTTGGCAATTCGTCGCGCCCCGTTGGCGCTGCTGCCTGGCCGCGCGCGCGCGCGGCCGCCTGCGTTGCCGCAGTTTTTTGCTCCGGCCGGGGGTGGCCGCAGCGGATGATCTGGGGGACGTCCTCGCACTAGGCTTGGAACGTCGGAGGATCCTAGGTGACGTCAGAGATCTCGGGGGCGTCGAGGGGCGTCGAAGATCCTCTTCCTCATCTCGCTCCTCCCCACCCTCCACACCAGATGCTCAAAAGCAGAGCCTGAAAAGTGCCAGGGGTCCAGAATGGAGTAAATGTTTCGACGCGGAGACCCACATAAGTGATATACTGGGAAGGCCTTACGGTCGGTGCCGCCGACCCTGAAGGGGGACGACGACCACGACGGCGGCGTCGGCGGCGACGACGACGCTGACGTGGGGCAGAGTCCTCAGTGATGCATCGTGGGGCCTCGTCGGCGGCGTCTGAATATACGAGCGTGTCTGAGCGACTGTGTACGAGTGGGTCTGCCTGCGAGTACGGGTATGAGTGGGCCTTCCTCGGCGGTCCCTCTGTTCGGATGCTCACATTGCCACAGATCGCGGAAGGGCACAGGGGCCTTGGAAGGATACCCCCCACTGGGCCAGCCAAACGGTAACTTTATATATATACATACATACATACATACATACATACATACATATATATATATATATATATATATATATATATATCATATCATATACCGGGGCCCGTAGCCATTTTGGCTCAAGCCATTTTGGCTCAAGTTCCCAACGTTGCTCCCCGCGCTGGGAGCTTGTTTGCAGCCGAGGGGAGCGGCCCGAGCTCCCACATGTTGTGCACCACAGGGGTGCGGCATTCGGGCCACCATTCCTGTGAGCTCCTGTCGGAGCAATCCTTTCATCACCGCCCAAGGGGCATGGCCGATGGCGATGGGCCAATCTTCCCTGGGCCGCGCACCCCTTTCTGGGCGTGCGGAGGCTGCGGCTTCAATACCAATTGGGCGTCACGGATTTCATGCAGGCGCGGCAAGTCTGCACCCCAGAAGGTCATCGTGGCGGCCCGCAACAACGCCAAGAATGTGCAGAGCCAAAAAGGTCATCCGTCTCGTCCTGCTGCTGGCGGGCGCACTGGCAGGCGTGCCCCAGGCGCAGTGGGACGACACGATCCGCTACAGGAGAAGCTCGACGCCCTGGCCAAGCGCTTTGACAAGGTCATCGGCGGAGGTGTAAGGCACTACGGCAACAACGGCATGGGTTTGCAGCATCCTCCAGCTGGGGCGGGTTCTCCTCCAGCACAAGAGACGGACAAACAGCAGCAACTGCGTGACCAGATCAAAGAACTGGAAATCACCATCCGCATGGTCGAGAAGTGTGGTCCCAGTGGGTTCCAAGCTAAGGCAGAACTTGACAAGCAGCTCAAAGAAGCACGTCAGTCCCTCGCTGAGTGCAAGCCAGTTCTGTCTCAACACACTGCCGTCGGTCACAAACTTACCAAGGCCGAGGCGGCGCAGCGCAGGTTGGCTCAGGAAGTTCAGCATCAGCAACTTGTCATCGAGCAGGCAAACGAGAAGTTCGACAGTCTCAAGGCACAGCAGGCGGCTGCGGCTAAGGAGCTGGTTTGGCTTAGCCAGAAGCTTGTGGAGACTATGCCAGCGGCTGCTGAGCCCTCTCCGACGTGCCATATTGATCTGGACAGCATCGAAGATGACGACAAAAAGGAGATGGAAGAGTTCATTGCGTCTCCAGGTTTCGCCAAGTTCAAGAAGTTCATGGACCAGCAGAAGGCCGCGACACCGAAGCCAGCTACCCCCGCGTCACCGTTCGTCGTCGACGGAAGTGGTGACATCAAGATGGGGACGAGCGACGAGCCCGTGGCATCACCGTTCATCTTCCCCCCGCACGATCCTGGGCAGCAGGCGGCACATCAGAGTGCACCTGATTTGGATTTCGATCTTGATGATGATGAGCTCGAGCGAGTTTTCTTTTGTGCACAGCGCACTGACAAGGGAGAATTCGGGGAGCAGCCGCGTGCTCTTTTCAAGATGCAGCGTTTGGGGTAGCAGTGCCCCACTCCCACGTTGCAGCGGATTTCCTCTGTCGCAATTTGGCACTCCGATCCCTCCGCCTGCTCCTCCGCCTCCGACCATCCCCGGGGTGCTTGGCGGAGGCGAATGCATTGAGTGTTACAACGGAAATGCCTGGAGTACGTTGAGAGACCGTCTGAAGACCACCCCTGCCCTCATCGTCTTCGCTCAGGGGATCGGCGTGTTGGAGGACAGATTGGGTGAAAAATGCGATGCGGTCTCCAAGTTAGGTTGGAAAATGCTTTCCTCCCCCTCGGTCCCTGGGCAGACGGGGCAACCCAAGTGGGGGGGGCCATCTTGGTCAGGAAATCCTTGGGGGTGAGATGGCCTAGTGATTGCTCTGGCATCGTCGTTCCCAGTAGGATCATCAAAGCTGTGGTTGATATCCCCTCTTGGCCCCCCCTGACGGTCGTTTGTGCTTACCTGAAATCGGGCGCTGGACTCTGCGAGTCCAACCTGGGAATGCTCAAGAAAATCGGGTCGCACCTTGAGAAGGAGCACCTCGTCCTCGTAGGAGCCGACTGGAACATGGAGCTCAGTCTTGTGGGCAGCACAGGTCTACCGAGACGACTGGACGCTGCGCTCTTCGTTCCTGAGCAGCGCGCCTGCGCCTTACCCAGCGCGCTCACGACCATCGATTTTTTTCATGGCCAGCACGAGCATGGCCAGAGAGGTGGAACAGATGGGAGCTGATATGTCGTGGACTGACACACCCCACAGGCCGGTGCAAATTAAGTCGAAGGACAAAGCGGTGCAATTATACCAGCGTAATTATCGCACCCACCAGAAGTTGCCCGTTGAGCTCCCGTTTGGCCCCGCCCCCTCCCCCCAGGATTGGACGCTCGCCCGGAGTCTGGCGGAGGGCGCCGCTGATGCTGCGATACACCTTCCCGTTGGGAGGGCCAGGGCCCAGCGAACGTATGCGTGGAAAGTGTTCGCCGACACGTTAGAGTTAGAACTTGAAAGTTTCTTTGGAGTCGACATTGCCAGCAAGGGCCACAAAGGGGCCTTTCTGAAACCTCGGTTGGCCCCCATCTTCGAGAGGCCTAAGAAGTCCTCCAGGGATGAAGCCCCCTCGGGATGGGCCCGGCTGGCCCGGCACACGAAGGGGGCGGCGGGAGTTACCAGGGCCGGGCCGATGCCCAGGACAACTTCAGAGCCGAACCCCGCAGATTGGACCAGCTCCAGCAGGATGGAGAGGCTCAGATCAAGCAGTTACAGTTACAGCCCGTGCCAGGCGAGGGATCGAGTGTCAGGTTGGACGCGACGATCGGGCAGGCGCGGGATCTTCTGTCCAGATGGTCCGTCACCTCACCCGAGTGGCTCCAGGGCGCTCAGGAGTTCATGGACTCCTGGAACGATGACCTGGAGCTCGCCCAAGCCACCCTGAACAGGAACAAAAAGGAGTCTTGGGACGAATGGCAGGAGAAAGCGTTATCTGGAGGGGGCCAGGGCTATGCATAGGTTAACTAAGTTAAAGGAGAAATGGAACCCCACGGTCGTTCAGACCACTTCTGGGCCGTTCACGAGCAATCCGCAAGAAGTCCCCGATGCGGAAAGAAGGACTCTGGCCAAGTTCTGGCATGCCAGCACCTCCCCCGCCCGAGCTGAAGTCCTGGGCAGGGACCATCTCCCTCGGGCCACGGCGGCTGAGATTCGCGCTGCCAGTGACTCTTTTTCCAAAATGACGTCGCAGTCCTTGGACGGTCTGCGCCCTCGCCAGCTGTCTTTGGTCTCTGACTCTGCCCTGGGCGCGCTCGGTGCCATCTTCCAGGCCATCGAGCCCCTGGGCCTTTTCCCTAAACAGCTGTTATGGATGTTGTTCCCCCTCCTTGAGAAGCCTAAAGGGGGAGTTAGGGTGTTAGACCGATCCTGTTGTGCGCGGGCCCCGCCCGGGTCTGGGAGCGATTGAGAAGACCCCACCTGCTCGATCTTAACTCCAACATCCCCCGCCGTGTTTGGGCCTTCGGGCCAGGGCGCAGCGCCGAGGGTGCCGCGCGGCACCAGGCGGCGCAGGCCGAAGTGTCCGAGGCCAAAGGTAAGGTTACCGCGGGGGTTACTTGGGACGGGACGAAGTATTACGAAAGTGTCGACTTGGAGCTGTTTAAGAATAGGGCGATTGGGTACGGCTTCAATAAGGTTATTGTTAAGACCACGTACAATTTTTGGAGGGGGGCCCGTATCCTCAGGCTCGGGTGCGCGTACAATGTGAACCCCTACTTTGCCTCGAGTGGCCTCCCAGCGGGGGACATGTTCAACGACCTGTTCGTGCGGGTCTACAGCGCTGGCGCCTTCGATCGTTTTTGCAGCAGCCACCCGCAGGTCGCCCGATCGTCGCACGCTGACGACGATGCCCTTACGACTGAGGGCAGCACGGAGGCGGAGGCTCTTGAGAAAATGGTTCAGGCCTGCGCTAGCATGTTCGTTGCTTTCAGAGATGAGCTTAAAGTCGGTTTACAAGGAGACAAACTCACCACCTTCGGCAGTTCCTTAGGCATTGCCGAGAAACTTGGAAGGTTGTTAGGTCAGACGGCTGGCATCGTCACTAATAGCACTGTCAGCCTTGGAACGGATCTGGCCCCAGGACAGAGACGCTCGACCAAGAACGCTTTCCACAAACGTAAGGTCAGGTTTAGGTGCATGCATAAAAGGCACAAGGTGATACAGAGATATCGGCGGAGTTTACCCAGACAGAAGGGACCCATCGGCAAGATTTGCGTGGCGGGCCTCCAGCCTGCTGCCACGTTCGGATCGGCGATTGTTGGCATGAGCGACCATGAGTTACAGCAAGCTCGTCGTGTCATGCTGTCGTACCGGGCCCAACGGCATCGCGGGTGCTCGCTCATTGCTAAACTTTGGTTCGGAGGAGACCCTGTCTGGAGGGCGGGTGTTGCGTCGGCCCTGCACTGGGCCCATATTGTGCGGCTTGCGGTCACGGACCCCGTCGCGTCTCACTATAGCGTCAAGCAGATTTGTCAGATGTGGCGCGCGGTGCCGTTTAATGACCAGGTTAGCTGGAGGACCTCCCGCGGGCAGCCCCCACAGCAGCCCAAGAGGGCGCCCAAACGGCCCAAGAGGCGCCCAAGACGGCCCAAGAGGGCTTCAAGACGGCCCCAAG